GTGGTTGGTTAGTAGAAGAGGGGGCTGGAGGGGGGAGGGAGGGGGAGGGGGATGGCCGGTTTGTAGGAGAGGGAGAGGGGATGGGGCTGTTGGAGCTGACTAGCTGTGGTTGGCCGGTACTTCTTACGTGGGAGGTTGCCCCTCCTAGAGACAATGGCGCATGTGGGGTGCTATGGACAGCTGGGCTGCAAGTCTCTCATAGCGGGCAGTTTTCACTCCTGTGGATACGGCTTCGGGCTGCTTAGCTCCTGTGAAGATGGCTTCGGGCTGCTTCGCTCCTGTGGAGATGGCAGCTGTGGAGATGTCTTCGGGCGGCTGCGTTCCTCCGGTTTTGGTAGGTCGGTTGCTGCTTTCTCGTGACTACAGCTGCACTCACATGAGGACTTGTGGGAGTGGGGTGCGCTGCAGCCAATTGCTGCTCTCGTGTGGAGATGGCACATCCGGGGCGCACAAGTGGTGAGTTGGGATATTGCTCCCTCGATAGGAGCGATGGCCTCGTCGGGGCGGTGACAGGATCTGCGACCTTTCTTCGAAATTTGAAGCTGGGTGGGGCGCGGCGAGATGGAGGCTGGGTGGGAAGCTGGTGGCGGCGGGTCTGTGTGGGCGTCGGCCCAGGGGGCCTACCACGGGCGCTAGCGCAAATTAACACAGCGCTGCGTGTTGCATTTTTTTTCTGCACCTTCAAAAAACAACACTGGACAATTGTAACACAAACAGAAATAAAGGAGAAAACTATGGTCCTATCCCCTACGAAGGTGTATCCTACTGCTGTTTACCATGAATCTTCTGCCATATCCTGTTGTCCCTCTTGCAACTCTAGGCTTCTTTCACCCTATAAACCCTAAACCCTACCCCCTGCTGTGCCCTCTCCTTTCTTCTAATCAAGAGGGCTTGGGTTCGCAGTTCAGCCTTCCCACTTGCGGTCCTCTGGTTTCTGCTGCCCATGTGGTCTTATTCCAGTCTGCCTTTGGCCTGGGCAAACCCGCTCCTCAGTGGGAGTTCAGGCTAATGCTGGGTCTTTGCGATTGGGCCAGCCCCAATGAGGCATTCCTTCCTGTGTCGCTGTCTCCTTGAGGTCCCACTGCGAGTTTCCACATGAGTCTCGGTGTGTCCCCTTCTATGCTACCCAGTTTCCCGGATCCCAAGCTGTCCTTGCAGAATTTATCTATGATATCTTGTCTCTTGGTGGGGTTGTTCGCTGACTGGCACAGACTACTCAAGCGTATCACTTCTGCCCTTCTATTACCGGTTTCCTTGAAAAAATCTCAAAACATGGCTGTGACTCCAAAATCCTCCTTCATCCACTTCTAACCCTCATTTTTCCACATCGCGGTCACAAATGCTCCCCTCTCAGCCCAATTGGGCTGCAAATTTGAGCACATTGTCCGATACCAGGAGATTGACTCTTTTTTTTTTACCATTTCTCGATTTCTGTGTGTCATCCTTGCGCAGGGGCCATGCTAATCTTCTCTGTATCGTTCCAATTTTAACGGATGTCCCGAAGGACCCAGGAGATTGACTCTACTCGCCACTGTCTTGCTTTTTTTACTAGTAGGCAGCCTCTAGTCCTAGCTTTGAATTCAAACAGATGGGAATTGATTATCGAAGATGAATTTACAGAAGGGACTCCTGGACCAGGGGTTGGAGTTGATGGTATTGATTATAATAGACCAAGGCTCAAAATGACTAGGATAACTCAGCCTTCGGCCACCTGTTGCTGAGCCCATTGATTCTGCACATAGTGTCTCTCTGCCCGATGCCATGCAGATGATATGGTGGGTAAGGGACATAAACATGTCTGCTGCTGCTAGTTAAACCACCAGTAGCCCCATACCTCTGGGTGAAAACTAGCCCATGGCCGCTACGGAGCAAACTCAAGAGCAGCAGAGGACGATGATAGCACTGCAGGTCATCTTGCAAGTAATCATATGCCTGCTGGGTCCTCTACCAAACTGAAGTGAAGACCAATCTTGAAGATGGCAATTGGAGAGAAGCTTTGCAATAAGCTCATATTGCTCAATCACACCAGCACATTTGATGAAAATGAAAAAACATGGATGTCCACTTGAGGGCCATGCTGCACTGAGCAGTCTGCAATAAACGGCACTCAAAACCATGCAGTATAGAGCCAGAACACACTCGCGAGTCGCTACGGCTGCACCCAAACCCTCTACTTCAGCTGCCAAGATTGGCGCTGCTGCTCCTTGTCTTCACTCCACCAAAATCGCGAACTGAAAAATGAACGAATTGTAGTCCTAGCCCGTCACTTTTTGCTATGCCAATTTTGCCTGGGCCTAGGACCCGGCTGTGGCCTGAAGAATTTTAGAGGTCTAGGTCCTATAGGGTCCTATGTGTCCAAGATCAGCTAACAGTATGCTTACTTGGAGGTCCCAGGTTCGAATCTGACTGGCAGCAAACTTGTAAAACAAAATAAGCACAACTTGTTTTTGTTTCACACATGGGCCAGGTCTCGGTTTCAAGTCCCCCTGAGCTATATAAGGCGTGCGTAACAGATTGTTTTTATGGGTGTATTTCTCTCTGAATCTGTTCTCATGCTTGTACTGTCTTGCCGGGGCAGTCTTTCATTAGCTATATAAGGTGTGCGTAACAGATTGTTTTTATGGGTGTATTTCTCTCTGAATCTGTTCGCATGCTTGTACTGTCTTGCCGGGCAGTCTTTTCCTTTTCCTTTTCCTTTTCAAGTCCCCCTGAGCCCAGCACAATCAACTTTTGACCACAAAACTCTTCCAAAAGTTCCAAAACCCAGATTCAGTCAATCAGTTATCCATGTCACCAATCCACAGCTCATAGTGCATGCTATTCTCAGCTTGTGGGGCATAAACCTGGCATGTTGGGTTGGCAAAACTGCTAGGTCAGCATGGGGTTATATGCAGTGTGTTCAGATACGTACTGTAAACTTCAGGGCTCTTTCCCTTCTCGTGTTCTGTTTTTGCCTTCCGTAAGCTCTTTCTCATGTTAATACTTTCATTACCGATTATTCTTCATTAACTTTGTCTTTATGTCTATTCCAACCCTTTGAATTTGTGTGTGCCTTACTCCAATTCTATGTTCCGCTTTTGTTTTCTTATCTCAATTCTCTTTTACTCCTATTCCGACACCGATTCCCGCATTCCTATCCCCATGTTTCCATTATTCCCATTTTCCCATTTTCCCATTCCCATTCCCATTCCAATTCTCATTCCCATATCATCTGATCCAGTGATGGTCTTCAGGATCTGTATGAGAGACAGGTTCTGCAACGGCAGAAGCTGAAGGAGAGGCTAGAAGCACTGAAAAAACAGAAGGAGCAGCAGGAGATGCAAGAATGCACATTCAAGCCAGGCATACGTTCTAAGGGCGAAAGCCGTATCAAGGTGACTTATCCCCTTTCCCAGTGTTTGGTACTGTGGCTAGTGCTCTTTTTGATGGAACAAAGCTTGACTTTTCTTCTTGTTTGTGGGCATGGGAAGCTGTTTGTCAGCTTCTCGCTTCGCGCCTTGCCACTGTTCTCTTTGTTGTCCGGAATCAATCTCACACTTTGGACAACTAACTGAGGTGTATACAATGATAATGCATTGCTAAAATGACTGTAGTTATCTGCGCAAATAGCAGCAAGAGATCCAAAACCCCATCAAAAGCTGAGATTTCAAGATTTGAAGATTGCTAGGACTTGCATAATCTATCCTGACTCTGTAGACACCAACAGGCTTGCACAGTATTCTCGGGCAATCTTTTTGATCAAGATGGCGACGTGGAAACCTCTACACCGGTCTTGGAGCGTGCTATGTGCTCTCTTCCCTTGTGGGATCGTGATGAATCTCATGCCGCCGTACATATGGAATACACCCAGCGGCTACCCAACAAAACATGTCAAGAGTCAAGATTCAGTAGTGACAAAATTCATGCGAGCAGCGAGTTAGAATATCTCCGAGCATTTAAAAAAAAAAAAAAAANAAAAAAAAAAAAAAATCTCCGAGCATTGATGATGTTCAACTACTAGACAGGAGGATAGAATTGACACATGTTCTGGTGGTTAAAAAAAAGGAAAAAACAACAACTGACACTTGTTGCACATGGAGACTATGATGGAGTTATCAACTATTCTGTACAGAATGGGACGGAAAGTAAAGAACAGGAACACTATGGAAGTGCTTGGAACTTCCCCTTCGACTTTCCCCTCTCTTCCTTTGTCTCCCTCTGGACATTGCGTACGTTCTATTGTTAAAATCCTGACACCACCATCACAGGTACCTGCGAAAAGAGAGGACTTCTCCTCTTTCATCTTCGCCGTCTGCTTGTTCTCCTCCCACCTTTCCCCCCCCTCCCCCTTCCCCAACCCCCTCTTCCTCGATATCCTCCTTGGTCATACTTGTTTGTCACTTCCTGTGCACTTTTTGTGGCATTACTGAATGTAATACAATCTTTCTCACCTTCTCAGCTCATATCTTTGTTTGGTTTTCTCACTCTATTATTGTCTCTCCTTAATTGTCCTTACCAATGCCATGGCTGGCTTTTCCTTTTTGGTTCCCTCTTCTCCCACTCTCTTGTTGTTCTGTCGGTATCGTTCTTGTCATTACCATTGCTGATGCCACTCTTCTTGGTTTTCCTTTTTGGTTGTCGTTGTTATTGTGGTCACGGGGTCATCACCAACACCGTCATCGCCGTAGTATTTGTGGAATTTGTGGTCACCGTTGTCATAATCATTGTTATTGGTGTTGTTGTCGTTCTTGTTGTTATCATGGTTGTTGGTGGTGTTGGCGTTGGTGGTGGTGGTGATGTTGGCGTTGGTGGTGGTGTGATGTTGGCGTTGGTGGTGGTGGTATCATTGTCATTGTTGTTTGCTGCCATGGATGTTGATGAAACATGTTGGATGACACTGACGGAAATGGAACGACTGAGCCACAGCGGTTCTTGCATGGAGGAGTGACCCCCAAGCCAGTGGAGGAGCGATTTGCAACATTAGAGAAAGAGCTCAGGGACGTCCACGGCCTTGTCCTTGGAGACGCGTCCAATGCAGCGGATTCAACAGGTGATAATGCCAAAGGATCATATTTGTTCGCTAATGTTTCCTGGACTTTCCTCATTGATACCAAAAAAGACAGAAAAAAAAAGATAAGGCGACCCAGAGTCCCAGACTGGTTAGATTAAATAAATTTGCAACAAGGCATCAGTCAATTTCTCTTCATGGGAAGGTTTAATGAGAACAACAATCAGAGAGGATTGGGACTCAGAACCCTCACCAAATCTCCTGAACATTGGGCATAGTGATCAAGTGGAGCATAGTGCTCAAGACTTGGGCCCAGCTTACTGGGCCTGCGGATTGAAATTTAGGGCTTGGCCTGGCCTGCCCAATATGTGGGAATACACAACCTTACAATGAAGTTATTCAACCGAAACTCGATGAGCCTGGTTGGGCTTGTGGCTAGGTCCCGCTACTATATAGTTTTGATGGTAAGCTCAAATGAAACTGGCCAGGATGCCAATCACATTCCACGCCCAAGGGCAGCCATAGCTGGTGCTATGTCAGTGCCAAGAAAACACCAACCTGGCCATTTTTATGACTAGGTTCATGCTTTCTAGGCACGAACATAGAACCAGTGTGGCATGTGCCTTACTTTCTTCCAAGACAGCAAACTCTGGCGGCAGAGCTCCAATCTGACATGGGTTTGCCAGGTCAGTACTACTGGGGAATGCCTGTTGAGGAGCTAGGGTAGCAAGCACACATCCCCTTAGGGGCTGCTTCTTGGGTAAGTTTCAAACTTTATTATTGTTAGATTGTAAACCTTGCAATATCACTCACCACCCGCGCAGTCGATCTCCTGGAGTATCCGGGGCAATCAATGCTGTGGGGGAAGGAGGCTCACTCAGAGTACCCAGATCATAATTTTTCCTCAAGGGACGCCGGTCCCGTTTTCCAGCAGGTGCTGTCCCCCACCGATAGACGGAGCAACCTGTGGTGCTGCTAGGGGGGGTAGTCTTATTACAAAAAAAAAAAAAAAAAAAGAGTGTAAACCTTACTTAAAGGTTAAACGTGGTCACATCATTAAAAAAAAGGACTGGATCAATGGGCAGACTGCAAAAGGAGAGGACTGAGAAAAGCAACGCCCCCCCCCGGGCATACACCCCCCCCCCAACGTTTCTCTGACGAGGTTTGTGACCACGTTTTTGTAGCCGGCGGTGCGAAGTCCCTACCGGGCATACAACCCCTCCCCCCAAACTTTCGTTTTTTTTTTTGGACCCCTTGATTTGCCTGTGCGCCGCATGGCATGCGCGCACATCATGCGCGCTGCGCGGTGCGGCACATGTGCGCGCTGCAGCGCATGCATGATCTCAACTTATGGGGGTATTT